CTGTAACAATGAAAATATATCCTGCATATCAGATATTTACATTATGATTCATAACAGTAACAAAATTACAGTTATGAAGTAGCAACGAAAATAATTTTATGGTTGGGGGTCACCACAACATGAGGAACTGTATTAAAGGGTCGCGGCATTAGGAAGGTTGAGAACCACTACCCTAGGAAAAGATGCTGAAGGAAAGAATGGAGAAGCAGGAAAGACTTTCTGCAGACTTACCATCCTCTGCCCGGCCCCTGGCGGAAACATGCTATCCCCTCCCATCCACATTTAAAGTATCTGCCTGTCAGACATGCCACCAGTACCAACCCTGGATTCCATGGTACCCAGCAGGCCAGGCAAGGCCAGTGATCTGGTCCTCTCCAGCCTCACCTCCTGCCTCCTGAGCTTCCACAGCCCACACAGCTCTGCAGCTGGGCTGAGCTTCCTCCCCACTCCCCACTGTACGGCGTTCTCTCTGCTCTTCCGGCCTTCAGACACACTGTTCCCTCTCTCTGCCCTCCTTCCAGACAACTCCTACTGTCTCCCCAAGACTCAGTTTAGGAAACACCTTTTCCAGAAAGCCTCCTTAACCCTTGCCAGACAATAGACAAGCCGAAACTTCCTTCCATCCTCACTTTCCCCCATAATTCTATGGGCCCACAAGTGTTGCCCACAGTGTTAACTGGCACTCTGGGAACCAGAGTTCACTGGGCTACAGGCCTTTGGGTAGTTTCAAAAAGGAACTGGATGCCAATCATCTTCAAAGCTTTGGAATGTTTTCTCCACCCAGATATCACAGGCTCAGGGTTGGATAACTGCATTTTTTGTGCAATTAAACGCTGTGTGAAGTTTAAAAGCCTGAACCCAATCCCAAATATATCACCATATTTCATTATTATCCAAATCACTCCTGACCATGAGATGCACCAGGACTTTACGTAGTATTAAGGGGGGGGGGGAGCTAATTAAACGATGCTTCACTAATTGTAGGAGAGGCCTGATTTCAAGTTAATAAGTGGGGAAACTGGGAAAAACCACAGGTGGAAAAACCAAGCACGGAATAATGTGCAGGGCATGTTGCTGTGTGTGTATGTGTTTAAAGAGAGGAGGCTGTGTGATGACACTCTTATAGGCATACAAAATTCCCGGAAAGACACACCAACAACCTGATACGTGTGCCCTGTGGAAGCTGGTCTGGGGCATTGGGTGGAAGGGACACTCCCTTGACATCATTACATCCATTTGTAAATTCTGACATTTTAAACCAAATATTCCTTTTTAAAAATAAAACTTTGAAAAATGCAAAATAAAATGGCGCATCCTTCTGAGAGGATTAAGGAACATAATATTTGGAGCCGGCCTTGGATCTGGAAACCGTATGTACAATACAGACTGCATAGCGACTTCGGGCAAGTTCCTGCCCCGCCTGCGTCCCAGTATCTCCGGGACCCGGCTCTTTTGTTTAGCTCATTAGCAAATTGTTCACGGACTTGTGAATTCAGGAAATCTTTCATCTAGTAGAGTTAAAGATATTGTTAGTTTGGTGACTGCTATGGATTTCCCCAAATTGAAGAGATGTGGATATCGAGCTCTCTTCCAATACTAGTAAATATTATTTTTAGAGGCAAGGATTTTTCGTAACAGCTTGGAGAAAA